ATCATCGGCTACGTTTCTCGGGACATAGTGTGATTGTCACGCAACGAAGACGTTGCGAAACTACACCGAGCTTCACAACGACGAAAAACTGCAACAGACAGAATGGTTGAAACAAAAGTGCTCTGTTAAGGCCGCATGTACGTACGCAAGATGAGAAGTAGAACGAGAGGGCGAGAGACAGAGAAAAAGAAAAGAGGGAGAGATGTAGAGTACTGATGCTGAAAGTACAACAACTATTCGAACGCTCACATGCTCGGTGAGGATAAACGACCGCGTTTCGCGGCGCTGGAAAAATTTTCATTCGGATATTTCGTATACTTCCGTATTAGACAGCATTGAGAAAAGCGACAATCGATCTCACTTATGCAGTCGTGAAGACTGTACAGAAACTAACCAGACGTATCAGAAGGTGTACCAATTAACATTCGATCAAAACACTTTAGTTGCTGATCCCATCTAATGAAGCAGATTTACTGCCACAAGTTAAAGCTGGCAACATCAATACGTAAGTAACATTGTGAAAAGAAGCAATTTGGTCATTCCAAATATCTTCTTGATAACTTTATCTGACTTAAAATGTCTATTTTTAGAACAAGCACACACATCCCGTAACCTCCATTTAGGATGGAGATTTCCATGCAGATTTTGCCGACCGAATTTAAACTTCATACTTCATCGTGAAGGTATACACTTCGTCGACTTTCAAGATTTCGTCCGAATATTTAACAAGTAAGTCACGTTTGTTAAACACTATAAAGATTCAATTCACTATCAAGATTCAAAAACGACACATATCATTTCATCTATAATTTACCGTTGATGACGACAACGACTACCGCGGAAAACATCGAATATCAAGTGAATATAATTTTATGAATAGTATCAATCGTTTTAGCACCGAGAGGAATTTCTTTTTAAACTCGCGATAATGTAATATTTTATTTGCGTAATATATGTATAAGTAGTATAAACGTATAAAATAGTATATAACAAATATAAGAATGCTCGTACATAAGTTGCATTAAGTATAGTTAGTAGCAGATTCTTATGTATACGAGTGCATTATCGCGACTTAAAATTATATCATTGCTCAGAATTGAGTCAAATATAATCATACATATGTAATAAATAATGATTTCGAATGCGTATTTATATAAATGTGATTTTATATATATTTAAGTATATTTTACATATATATAAATATACATAAATATAGATATATATGAATATAAATATATATACATACGTGTATATTATATATATTTTATATTTCATATTATATATATGTTAAAATACATTTATTATAAAATCGATATTCGAAATAGTTATTTATTAACATACTTTTCCGGCATTGGTTAAATAGAAAAATTTTAGTTTGCATGTATTCCTCTTTGTGCAGTATTATTATTGCATAAAACGATAAAATATGGCAATGAAAATTTTCTCAGCCGAGCGTTTTCATAACTCAAGTCTCTTTCATTTTAAGCAGACATTAGTGAGATTATTTTTAAGTTATAGTTAAGTCATGCTTAAGTATAAAGTTTTAAAATGCAAAACTAATATTCATTATAAAGTAAAAAATAACTCTTAATTTCCTAATTAAAGACAAAGACAACGGAATCTAATCAACTCATTTAAAAAAGAATGTTTAAATTTGTAACATTTAAAGATATGTGTGAAAATCTAGTCAGACGTATTTTTAACTCAGTACAAAAAATATACAACCAAAAATATATTCTATCCAGCGGAACAAATTTAGTCAAACAATTCTTTAACTCTATGAAAAAGCTAATATTTTAAATTCGAAAATCCCCAAAATCTAATAAAAAATATCTTTCGTCAAATGACGATATATCTAGTCAAGATATCAATTTAAACGAATGAAAAATGATGGTTAATCACAATAGTTTGCAATTATGCGATTGTAAAAATATCTCGACAAAAAGGCACAAATTTCACGTCAGTAAAAATTTTTGCAAATAATTATATTAAAATTTAAAAGTTGCTAATTTCTAACAAACCATACGTGCACATTCCTTCTAATGTAAATATAAATAAAAATAAAATTATATAATAACTTTGGTATACGAGCGGCAAGAGTAAATTTAAGGTAATTTAAATTATTACATCATTACTTCTAAAAGATTTGTGTATATGCATAAATAAATATGAATAAATTAAATATGTCTTGAAATAAATATAATTAGAATAGATTGCAAGAAATAAATGAAGTGAATAATTCGATGAAACAAAATACATTTTTCTCACTTTGTTTAATTTCTGTTTAATTTCAATATCTTCTAATTACATTTATTTATAGATATATTTGATATATTCATTTAAAAAACGATTTAATTAAGATTAATTAATTCCATATTTAAAATAGAATATGCAGGCCACTGATAAATGCAATTTCTTTCTGAAACTTTTAAGCGTACGATTATTACATCTCGTGCCGCGGACGATCATGTCAATTCTAGTCAGTATTATTTGTATCTTAGCAGTATTATTTGTAGATATATATGTGTTGGTGTGTAAAAAAGCCCGTGAATATTAACGATGCCATAAGAAATTTACATCGAATAATCATATTAGTAAATTCTACAGATAATTTTATAAGTTTTTTAACTTATTTAGTAGCATATGTTGTATAACTTTCTCATAATATATTTTAATGGTATGAAGCTAATTTTTATCATAATAATAATAATAATGGTAATTTGTCGTGCAAGTCAATTCTAGTCATTAATAAGTCATCCGATGAGAGCTTCGATTTCACACAAATATGATAAGTGATGTATAATTTGGGAAATGTGCCAGTATCTGAATTATTTAGTATTAATATAGACTCTTTAATTTTCCATATTTAATAATCGATTGTATGTATAATTTCTAGTCTATTTCAAGAAAAACAAAAGAAAGAAAAAAAGTTATGCATTATAATTTAAGTATATGGAGGATACTATAGTGGATTTAAATGGAGTACGTATAAAGTGCCTGTGCATTTCATAGAGTCATCACACACAAATTGTCGTAATCGATCGTAAATAAAACTGAAGCATTAATAAAAAAGATATCGCTCTTTAAATCATACATAAAAATAATTTAGATTAAACTTGGTTGAAAGGAAATTATTTCTACTTATTAGATTCACCATCAATTACATCTTTTAGATTCCAAACGTAAAACATGAGTGATTTTCAGTTAAGGTTTACGTCTTATATTTGAGTCTATGATAATTTGTGTATAATGACCTCAATTGACTTGTTTAATGACTTAGTTAATATATTGAAATAATGTTCTTTTATCTTGATGCAAAAGCAAGATGTCTTTGACTGTGCCTAATGGCAGCTATTAATATAGGAAAAAGCAATGTTAGCAATATAGGAGAAAGCAAAGAGAAAATCAGATATTGTATTTTAATTTTCTGAATTTTTACCATTGAAATATGCTTTTAATTATTTATTTATCTATTTAAATATAATAAAAAAATATATAGGAATATAAAACATACATACCAAACAAGCAAATAAATAATTTAATTTATAAATTATAATTATTTAACAAATGTGCAAATGTGTATATAGTTGGATGTAAATTGCAAAAGATTTTGATTATTTCATTTTCGTGATAAATTATCATTGTTTTATATAAAAACAGTTAGTCTTTTCTATTTTCCGTTTCAAAAATAGGTTTATATATAACGGGAGATTTATTTAGGTCTTCTTCAGCCAAAATACAAATAGCAAGTACTATTGTACTATTACTATCTGTATTTTGACTGAAGAAAACTTAAATAAAAGGAGAATACAAAAAATACTATCTTACAACGCAAGAACGATGATGTTTCCTAACTTGTATTAGCCTTGATTTACATATTTCGATCTTTCTCTTCTAATTTTTTTATCAATTCAATCAATAGAGACTATCTTTTCCTCTGTCAACTATATTTTATAAATTAAATTATAAAATAGTAATTAACTAGTATTACACGCGGCTGTGCCTATTTTAACATTTTATAATTATATTATTTTTAGTTTATATTCTAATAGAAATTTATTTGTTTCGAAGATAAACATATTAAAGATCAAAAATACTTTAAATTAAAAAAAATTAAAATAAAAGACCTACTAATTTTAAGTCATTAATATTTTGGAGAGTTAATCAAATTTAATCTTTAAGTTCAAATTCTGTTTAATGTTTACATGATTTCCTTTTTATTCTATAACGAAATTAAGTGAATATAGGATAAAAAAAATATTTATTTTATAAAGTTTAGGTTAATTTCGCGTGCAAATCACTTGAAAATTAATGTCTTTATTTCATGAATAGGCTAATAGAAGTTGTGTGTGCAAAGTAAATATCCTATCCTTCTTTATTTTGTTTAAAAGAAATCTATTAAAATACCAAAGATATACGTCGAGTCAGTAATAAATCAAATGACAGTTAATATTACCAAAAAATTGAATGCAACATTAACATTATCAATATCTAGTACTAAAATAACTGCTAATCATAGAAATCTATATAGTGAAATAAAATATATAAGTTCATTCTCCCCTAATAAAGCATATAAACACACATCCTAATTGATAGAGTAATACATAAAGATATATTACTTGAGAGTGACATCTAGTCAGGAAGCTCATGGACAATTTACTCGAACAGTTTTATCGAGAGGAAATTAGATCTCCTTGAAATTGCATGCAGAAGTAGCAACGAGATAATCAGTACATAATTATGCAAAACTACAATTCGATTATTAGATCTTAGATTATCAGATCTGATTCTTAGATGTTTAAATTAAATATTTGCAATAAAGAATTTTGAAATAAATTACTTAAAAGAACTAATATTTATAAAATCTCTGCTTCTTAATAATTAAATGTATTGCACACATTTATACTTATTCTGTTATTTATCTGCACCATAACATATTGGGAAGTTAATGGAATTTAATTTTTAATAATACAAAATTTTAGTTAATCGAAACTGAGAAAGAGAGAGAGAGAGAGAGAGAGAGAGAGAGAGAGAGAGAGAGAGAGAGAGAGAGAGAGAGACTGTCGAAAATAAATACTGTGCATAATTATTTTGATCTAGAATCAGAACAATTTATCATAATTTATTCACTCACTGTTTTCCACGATGAATGACAGTATTACGCACATTTTTTACTTCGTTTGCAATTTCGATGCACAATCGTCCTTCCTCGATTTACGCAGTAGAGCATACGATCTCAGTCCATGGGTAATAAATCTAGTCTGTAAATCTAGTCTGTAAAAATGTAGAAATGTAAGAATATGTATAAAGACATATGAAAAAATGTAAACTAGTCTATAAAAGCGTAAGAAGAAACAATTTAAAATTAAAATATCCCTATAACTACGTTAGTTGTAATCGACTATATTTTTAATGAATATTCGCGAAGCCGTTTTTTAAACGGAAAGCTTTCAGTTGTGTTCTCATTCGTATTTAATAATAAAAAAATATTGCGTATTTGTAAGACTTAGTATGTAAGTTTCAAGGACAATACCGTATCTTTATATATGTATATGTATATGTATACCGAAGGGCTTCCCCATCTTAGGGAGTTTGTTGCGTGAAATATTTATTGCTTTGAGTGTATCTTAATAATTTCCATAAGAGCCTAAGTACGTCGACGCACTTAATTATTTATTTATATTTCCGTATTTATTTTCTATTTATTCTATTATATTATCTCTATTTATTCTATTCTATTTCCGTATTTATCCTATATTACATATAGATTACATTAAATTATACACAGTGTTTTGTTGCCAGTAAGATCCATGGATTTAATATTTAAACAATGAATTTAATATTTAAAGACAATTAAAAACCAAAACATAATTTAAAAATTCCATATCAAATTTATATTATAAAACTAAATATAATATAACAAGCTATAATATTTATAAATAATGCTTTATATTTCTATACAAATCTTTGTTTTGCAATTTTGCAGTGCTAAACCTACTTAAAAATTATAAATGGATCTACAGTACTACTGAAACACTCCGTATATTTAGCTTTGTCATATAGGTTTGTGATTTGTTGCGTGTGTTTATTATGTGAGTATAAATATAAACATGTCATTTGTCATTTGCGTGTGTTGCTTGTGTCATGTAATCGAATCGTAACATGTGAAATGTATTCTATATAGCAAATTACCAGGAAATGCCGAGTACATAAATGGCCATTTGTAAATCCTGAAATTTCTCATCTGATGAACTCCATTATTGCCGTATTATACCGAATTATGTATTATTTGAAGAAAGATTATAAATTTTTGTACACTATGTTGGAATCAATTCAATAAAATATATAATAAATCGAAAAAAATGCCGAAATATATAAAAAATATATCAAAAATATATTTCTTTTACGATCACTACCTCACCACAAAATGGCGCCATTTTCTCACAATTACGACCGTTAATTTTACGCTATAGGATATATATGTATATGAAACATTTGTAACTCAATTATGCCAATAATAGTTTACATCTCGCGCAAAAAAATATAAATCAATTAGTTTATTACCCGACAAGACACCTTAAAAAGCTATACAAAGAATTTTCGTCATTTTTAAAACAATCGCGAATTCATGATTTGTGAACGCTGCGCTCGTCACTCGACAATTCGACATTAATTCTTTGTCTTAATAGTACAATTTTTGGCATATAAAGTCTGATTTTGATTGTTTCTATATGAGAGTAATAATTATGGATACTTACCGTTTGTACAACGTATAAATTTCGAAGATTTCCGCAGAATCCGCTTTCGACACACAATCGTCGTTAACGGGTTTTCATGCAATGGCGTCGGTTGATCTAACATCGATTATTCCAACTGGAATTAATCAAGGTCATGTGATCAACGACAACCAATCAGACAAGTCCATGAAACCGCCAGTTTCAACGAAAGATTTTCATCGAGTAACAATAGAGAAGTGTAATATACAACCTCTAATTAATACGTTTCGATAGAAAAATATAATATATTCATGATTTACGAATAAATTGGTCCGTAAAATACTGATACACACATACACAGAATACCCAGCTTTAGTTATTGAGGTTACATTGTGGATGTGTAGCAGATATCTCAAATGTTTTGAACGCCTTACTTGGAATGCATACGTACTTGCTTATATCAACAAGCTTTACGTTGAACAGCACAAGTTTTGCAGATTCAACGACCATCTTCTTGAATTATGCCATATGCGATATAATTGTTGCTTCTTGAACACGATTCCAGTCATCGTAGGAAATATATAAATGGACAAGTTCGACAACAGTTTATCCAGCGCCATCTACCGGTACCGTGAGAGAAATTCGTCGAAATACAGTGTCACAAAAAAGTGTCTAGCACTTAGGGATGGACTATATTGAAGAAAATAATTTATTTCCAAAAAATTGATTAAAAAATATAGCAATTTTTTACAGTCAATAAAATTTTAAGATTATTAATAATAATTGATTAATTTAAACTTTTTTACTAGTGAACTATTTTATCTGTTAATGGTAAATGCCTTTTTAAAAATTTGTATATAAGACTAAAATATCTCATTGCTGCTTTTTTTCGTATTTTATGGTATAAATAAATACATTGAAGAAACATTATATAAACGCTTAAGAAGGATGTTTTAACGAGCTGATTGAATTATATATCAGATTTACTTGTGTGTTTCATTAGCCTAGAATTAGAATATTTTATGGCGCCATCTGACGTAGCTAGAAGAGTACTATTTGATACATTACTAAAAAAATTCACAAAATACGTTTGGTCTAGTCTCGGTTAAATTTTATGAAGGTCGGCAAGTTATAGGAATAATCAAAGTAAAGCCAGCGGCACACGATGCTTATTTTCGTGCTGGATTGCGAAGATGGATGGAAATGCACCAATCAGAACTCAGTATTTTCATCCAGCAAGCAATCCAGCACGAAAACAAGCACCGTGTGCCGCTGGTTTTAGGAACGTTATACTTTGCTTGTCATTTTGATGTTATAATAATTTGATATTTTGTTTGAGAAGTTGTGCACAATCTAAATTGCGACTTAATAATGATTCAAGTAGGCTTTTAATTTTCTGATAATATAACTCAATTACAAATTAGTTGTCTCTTTTTATTTTTAAAAAATATAATAAAATCACTCTACTCTAGATATTGGAAGATGCAGGTCTGAAATCGACAGGTCGAACATCAAAATAATTTAATCGATTCCTTTACAGAATGAGACTCGAATATCGACTTATTAGTCGATCATCGTTCGTTCTTATTACACGTTCTTATTACATGTTCTCGTGATGTTCATACATTTAACACTAGTTTTTCAATAAGATACGCGATGATTGAAGCCGATAAGATGCTACATTTGAGAAAATATGTATTGACCGTTCTCAGAAGTGATATAAGATCACGGGTGATTTGTTCATTGCACTCGACATCGTCATTGGCACGTGAAGGAGGTTATGTTCTCCGTTCGTTGCATCATTGTTATATATCACCGACGATATCGCCGACGCGACCAAATTACCGAGCGTGCGGCGTCAGGACATTTAGCATAACAACCTCACAATCGTCGGTCGACGATGTTAATCAGAAACTGACATCGTTTTGCAACGATGTGGAACAGGGGCAAATATGGTCGGCGGACAGGTTGGAGGAGGTTATACAGTTGTGCAACGAGAGCAAGTACCAGCTGCAGCCGAGCACCGGCGTGCTGCTGCTCAAATGTTGCGGCAGTTCGTTGTCTACTTTGAAACCGAACGACAGGCAAGGTCTCCTCGATCGGGTATGGCAGCTTGCTAAGAGAAACGACAGCGCGCTAACGTTGGAGCATTACAACACATTGTTGAATATGTATGCAGAGAATTCTAGCTCTGTGGATCCGAACAAGTTCCTTAGCAAAATGAGCGTGAAGCCGGACGATGACACGTATCGTTTGCTGCTCAACACGGCTATCAAGACAGGTAATATTACACACTTGCGGAATATTGTATCCATGATAAAGGCCAGAAATATTTTACTCGATGAGAATACCTATTGCACATTGATGCAAACTTACTTGGCTCAGGGTAACATCACTGAAGCACTGAATGTAATTACGTCCGCGCAAAACGCGAATCTGCCCGTTAACAGGTTGTATACCGAGTTAGCCTGCGGATATGCAGCACAAGGTGATATTCTAAACTTGGTCAAGATTCTGAACGACGAGGTGCAAGATCCCTCGACTTTCCTTCAGATAATAAAGTCCTTGAGTGTATCTGGCAATGGCAGACATATCCCTGTGATCATGAATTTCCTCACATCCTCGGTAACAATAGTCATGTCCGAAATTAACAGTACGATAAATGAACTGGTGCGCGCGAATCAATTTATGGACGCGTATGCAATTGTAAATTGCATAGCGTTGAACAAAGAGAGCGCGAAACACGCAAAGAGCATTGTGAACAATTTCCTGAATCAGCTGATCATAACGAACGCAACCAACGAGACCATCATGAAATTCGCGAACAATTTTGTAGAGTCGGAATACGAACCCATGGCGTTAGCCAACATAGCAGAAACTTCCTTGAAACTTGGCAGAGAGAAACTGTCTCTTGCGATATTCAACGCGATGCGGAAGAGAAATATCGAAATAAGGCCTCATTATTATTGGCCTCTGCTGGTGAATGCGCAGCGAAACGAGGGCGAAGCCAAAATATACTCGCTCATCGACTCCATGAAGACCATGAACGTGGACTTTGACTTTGAAACGTTGGTCCATTATATATTTCCGTACCTGAATACGGCGAATCCGATTATCACATTGCAGAAATTGAAAATGATCGACATACAATCCTATTTCTTGAACACGCCTATGATATACTTCTTGCTGCAAAATAATCGACTGGAGGACGTGATATGTCTGTATGATTATATGCATATGAAGTTGAACTACAGAATACTGTTACCAGCGCTAATAGAAGTTTACTTGGCCACTCGAAACATCAAGGACTGCGCACGGGTGCTGACTGCGCATGAGGAGGGTCATAACTGTGTAAGTTTATTCCTGTTCAAGCTGTTGAGACAGAACAGTTCGAAATTGTCCATGGAAGAGTTTCATCTTTTGTTGAAAACGTTCTATAACATTGGAGTGAAATTAACAACACAAGATGCTGACATTTTGAAGAACAGAATCAATAATGCCAATATTACTTCTAACTTAAATATGAAATTGGCCAATATGATTGATAAAATGACTGACAGAAATTTGCAATTCCCAATAATAACGATCATACCGCATCCGCGGTTCATGAGTATCAACGAGCTGACTTGTCATCTCGTCGAACTGAAGAGTGAAGGACTCGGTACCAAGAATATTTTGCGCCGTTTATTCGATATATATTACTTACAGAACAATTTGGAGAAAGCAGAGGAGATAAAGAAAGAATATGATAAAAACCAGTATGTGTGGTCATCCGGCATGAAGATACAACTATTTGAGATATATGTCAAGCATAATAAACTGAAGGAAGCCGAGATGTTGCTTTTGGATATGCGGAATGTTTCCTCGACATTCTTGGTAGATAGCAAGAAGATCCTGTTGTTCGCCATCGCGTTAGTGAAAGCGGATAAAGTGAAAACAGCTTTCGACATTATCGAGAACTTCCCAAACGTCAATAACAAGAAAAACATGAGCAGAAGCTGCGCCAAGCTCCTGAACGCGTTGGCGGAAAGGGAATATCATGAAAACACAAAGCGCATGTTACACCTTCTACTAAATAAGCGTTATTGCGACATGACCGTCGAAGTGCTGCGGCCACTGATAGCGATACCATTGAAACAAAACAATATTCCACTGGCGGTAGACACGTTGGCAAATTGCATGCGTTTGTACCAGAAACTGCCGTTGGTGTTAGAGGTGTTCACGGCGTTGCTACGTGAGAGAGATGGTTCGCGCTTGGAGAATGTGAACAAATACATAGAGGAGGTATACAATATGATGGCGAATACATACAGCGTCGAGGCGGCCAACACCGCGCTGGTAATAGCATTGGCAAATTTGGAAAAAATGGAGGAACTACAATCTATATTGCAGGTAACTGAAACATATCCCCGACATGTTCTGACTATTGTGTCTCTTTTATTATACTTTCTTTTCACTGCGACTTTTCTATTACAGCAACAAAGGATCATTATGAACAACCTCATGCACTACTTCAATTTCGCGCAGAAGTCAAACAATGTGAAAAGCTTGTTGATGATTTTGAAAGCGACTCAGGACTCGAACAATGTGAACCAAATTTTCTTGTGCGACACGCTCCTTGCCTACTATAGTAAGTATATACCATATATATATATATATACACACACACACACACATGTAGTGAAATACATACATACTACATACAAGATTCATCGATACTTAATACTATTGACATTTTATACTAACAGGTAAAATAGGTGATCACAAGAACGCCCTCGAACTCTGGGAAATAATGCGCGAGAAAAATATCAAGCCTAGCAAATCTTTCAAACATGGATTTATTGAATTTTTCAAGTTGAATAAAATACCACTCCCAGCCGATTTCGATTCGGACAAGAATGAGGTAATTGTTAGTAATAATAATAAACATATAAGACTCGAACGACAAAACGCGTGAGATAAAGACAATTCAGTCGTAAGCGCAGGTATATAATCGTCGTTATCGTTGTCTCATATTCGCATTGTTATTATTTTCTAAGAAACATTGTTATATCTCAAAAAGACAAACATACGATTCAATAAAGAGATTTCAGATTTTCCCGAAGCACCAGACCGTAATCATTGATTAATTTGAATGCTTTCTCTTTAAGCGGTTCGTAATTAACGCGCTCCTTCTCTTTGTTCATGAATTCCTTGATCTCCTTGTTGTCCGCTTTCAATTTCGCCAGCTTATCCTCCAGGCTATTGATCTCTGGATAAACCTCGTATTTCTCCAGCTTCTCTTTGATTTCGTCATATTCTGTTTGCAGGGACTTGAGCTCATCCTCGCGTATCGTTTCCTCAGACACCAGTCCTTCACGTTCAACAATTAACTCGTCTCGTTTAAGCTCGTTTCGTGTTTTCAGACCGTCTAGATCCTCCAGAATGATCAGTTCGCTCTGCTGTTTTTTCAGTTTCTCCTTCATCTGCTTGGACTCAAGTTGCAGTTTCTCCTCTAGGATTCTCATCTTGTTGAATGTTTGTTGCATAGTGGCGTAATCCTTCTTCAGACTATCAAAATCGTCGTCGTGATGCGTGACTTCATAATCGTTGTACGAAAACTTGTCGCGCAACACGGCCATTTCCTCGGCCTCCGTCAGGTATTCGTTGTTGGCCACTCCGTTCGCTACTGCTGCCAGTTTGTCGACAATGTCTCGCTTGAGTTTCTCCAGTTTCTCAATCTCTTCCTGCTTGTTTTGCTCATATGTCAACATGAACTGCTCCATTGTCTCCTCCCGTTTACGCAGCTCTTTGTATTTCACCTGTTTCTCCGACTGATTATCTTCCATATCCGTTTCCAATTGTTCCAGCTCCAGTTCCAATTCGCTCACTTTCCTCTCTTTCTCGGCTATCTGCGCCTCTGTCGCAGCGATGTCCGTATTGTCGTGCTTTATCCTCTGCAGCAGTTGCTCCTTCTCGTCCTCTGGTGACAATCGCCTACGTTCTTCTTCTCGCAGTCGGTCTCGCTTCTCCTCCGCTTCTATGATTCTAACCTGAAGCTTCACCGCTTCTTGTTTCACCTGCGACAGTGCAATCTGCTCTTCCAGGTGAGCCTGTTCCTTCGACAATTGATCCAGCTCGCGCTGCATCTGCTGCGCTTGCTCCTGCAAGTCCGTCTTCTGCCGGGACAGGTCGTCGTACTTCTCCTTTGTCTGCGGGTCCATGCTCTCGATCAGATGTTCAGTTCGCTTTTTTTCGTTCTCAATATCTTTCTCCATTTTGTGCAACCTTTGTTCCATTTGTTTACGTTGCTCAAACAGTCGCTCGACCTCCGCTGTTCTGCGTTCGTTCATCAGTTCAAGCTCCTTAGCCTCCTGTTCTATCGTTCCCTTGTCAACATCCAAGGTCATCTTGTCCACGACGAGATTGTAATCTGCTAATTCGGCTTGCAAAGTCGTCAATTCTGCAGCTAAGCTCTTGGCTCTCTTGTCATAGTGCAGAAAGGTGGCCTTCTCTTTATTCTGCGTGTCTATGTCCTTCATTATGGTCCCAACCTCCTGGGTCAGTTCCCTTATTTTCAGCTGCAGCAACCCTTCATAGTATCTCTTGTCCTGAATCTGCCTGTAGATGGAAATTTCAACCGTATGATTAACAACTTCGTAAAAAGCAGTAATTTCAATAGAGAAACATTTCAGAGCATAAATAATTTGTATTTTCAATTTTCTTAGAGACAAAAGCAAATTTTCATTTTCATATGTATAGCCAACAGAATGCTATAGTAATTATTAATTATTAATTATAGTAGTTCGAAAAAAAATCAAAAGAATTATAAACAGCAATAGATTAAAATATCTTTATTCAGAGAGAAAGGGGGGAAGGGGGAAATAATTTGTTATTATTTGAGAAGTAATTTATTACAATTTTTTAAATTAAATTTTGGAAGTTTTTGTGATATACTATCATTCATACAAATATTTTGCCTATGTAAAATAATAAAAATAACTAAATATTATATATTCGTTATCACTCTTCAAACGATGTTATTGTGTTACCATTACTAATTGCATCACCAGAGTTTTATTGACAACAAAGTAATTTTGAACGATAACAAACAAATAACATGTTATTTCCTCCCTCCCTTTAACGCGCCTTTACCTAGTCATCGGTAAACCTCTGGTGGTTCCCGGCCGCACACCCGCGATCCCATGCTGCGTTATCGGCCGATCTAATATACTGACATTGAACTGCTTGGTCGCGGCTAGTCCTGTGCTAGATCGAGTCAGTCCGGAATCCATTCTGACGAGCCGAGAGCCCGCGGTTGGAACACGATTAGACAGGAAGGATGTCGATGGCGGCCTTGCCAGGGCAAGACGTCCGGGCGTCGCCGAACGAAAATTAACAGTCGAACCGGCGTATTCCGACGATTCGTCTTTGTGCCCCCGTCGAGATCTCGGCCGATCATACTTGCTCTGAGGTCTCACCATGCCGGTCGGCGGCCTGTCAATTTTGGTCGAGGTGCTAGCCACATCCTCCTGCTGGTCCCGCCGCCAACGGGTTATCGGTCGTTCGGCGGTCTTACCGGAAACGGTCTTTTCAGGGTCCATTTTCTCAACGATCGCGTTCTCGCCCGGTGTAGCTCGTGGGAACGTAGCGTGGGGACGACTCTCCGGCGCATAGACTGCGCATTTATCCTTTGATTGATCAGGTATTATACGATGCTAATGTTTTGCTAGCCGTAGTCATAGAAACTGATGCGCTTAAGTGACTCGTTTGAATTCGCTGGACGATTAACGCCATGTTTGCGCGAAGTGGCGTTCTCTTCCCGTGGGATGATAGGTTAGATTTTTAGGATAGCATCTATATTTAATAATTAATGAAAATTGTAATTCATTTAATGACAAAGGGGGAGAAAAAGGTTTTATACACAATTGGTTACGATATATATGTTGCGGTTATATCGAAAGACGAAGGGGGAAAGAAATAAACGCAAAAAGAACGAAATTATTAACGAGGAAAGCAAAGTCATTATAACGTGCATTTGTCTCCGTCGATGCTTTATTTTCATTCCGAGTAGTTTCAAATATAGCTTATACTTGACATAACATAATCGAACAACATGATAATAAGGCGGTAAGAGAACGTGTTGCGTGCACTGTTTTATCATGTCGGTGCACGTCGGAATCACCGTTAACATATATCGATATTTCTATCAGAGTTATAATATATTTGTGCCGTAAAGAATGCCCCCTCCCTTTGCCTTTAATCTCCAATTATTAATATTACTAAAGACACCGTGCGAGGATGTAGATTCCTTAAGTTTTCGTGTATAAAAACTACATTTCACACGTTGCTTTGTTCGGTGATGGTTGTTCCCGCCCGTTCCGCTAGATAGCGCCATCGACGCTTTCGACGCTCGAAGCGCGGCAATTATCATCAGTTGCCAAGCAACGGCGGTGAGACGCGGTGTGTCGCGACCGAACGGGCGAAGCGCGACGACGATGCATTCAGGCGGCACCAGCGCGGTGGCGACGGAGGGTCCCCGAAGTTGAATTAATATACGTTCGTTGTCCAAGAATATCTACGCCACAGCGGCGGCCTCGAGGAGAGCCGAGGCGGCTAACCGGCGCACTACGCGGCGAGGAGCCGACCTAGCGTGCTCGTTTGCGCGCGCTCTCTTTCTCTGTCTCTCTTTCTCTCTCTCTCTCTCTCTCTCTCTCTCTCTCTCTCTCTCTCTCTCTTTCTCTCTCTCTCTTCCTCCGCCTGTCTGTCTCGTTCAGTACAGCCGGCATCTCCATAGTTCGCTGGTCGAGCGTTCGAATTGCTCGATCGGCCGGCTGGCTGGCTGGCTGGCTGTTCGGATTCGGACGGCTTCGGACTCGGCGATCGCCGATCGACTCCCCTCCGCTCCGGCGACCGACGACATTCGCTCGCGCACCGGCGCAAGACGCGCGCGAGTAGCCACGAGCGGCGACGATCGAGTAACGAGAGCCGCGAGTGCACCACGAGCGAGGAACGCGCGCGCGACGAACGGCGCTGCGTGGTGTGTTGCGTGCGTCCGCGTCCACACAAAAACCCGCACCATCGGGCATCCTGCTCTCTCTGCACGCCTCTCCGCCGCTGTGCTTAACGACGCCACACGGTAAACCGGTTCCTACGGGGGACCGACGAACGAACAGACGCGGTGGAGGCGATCCGGCCTCCTCGTGCGCGAGAGAATGCTCTGAACCGCGGCGAGTGTCGCGCGCGCGCGTGTCCGCGTCTACCTTCTCTTTCTCTCTCCTCTCTCTCTCTCTCTCTCTCTCTGTTTCTGTCTCCTTATCCTCCTCTCTCTCTCTCTCTCCCTCTCTCTCCCTTTTTCTCTCTCCGTCTCTCTCGCGTTCGTTCGAGGTTCGCGCGCGTGACGATAGAAACGCGCAACCGGCGTGTGCGCGTTTATCGCATATGTGAGTGCGTCGTGTGAGTGCCCGCAAGTGCAACGAAAGAACGCATCTCCCTCGCCCCCTGCGGTGAGAAAGAGAGAGAGAGAGAGAGTCCACGGGCAAGCAGCGGAAATCAAGGTCCACACGGTCGCCGGCACGGGATCATGGACGAGGAAGAGATCGACGGCATCAAGTCACCCATCAAACGGCTCGGTTCCACGCGGAAGCTGCTCGTCTTTAACAGTGAGTGTTGTTTTGTGGCGCCTTTACGGCCGTTTCTCTTCTCTTGCTATTCGGGTGCTTGCGTACGAAATTCGGGTGCTCGCGTGCGTCTCCTGAGTTCTGACACGCTGTTCGAAAGTAAACGTCGGAGCCGCGATAATCGATTGTTGTGAATCGCGTCGGATGCGATACCATGCAAGTGTGTAAATCTCTGTCAGCGTGCATTATTCAACGTGTGAAGTACGAAACTGAGAAGCTACCTCTGACCTTTGGTCGCTTTTAACTTCCCTCAACTTTTCGTTCAAAGTGAGATTATCAAGATGGTTGCTCATCTGGAGAAATTCGTAAAACATAACCTCAAGTTATCAGATCGGCGAGAGAACTTTTGATTCGTCTCGAAGTTGCCGGAAGATCGTCGATGTAACGTCGATATTTCGTACGCAAGAACCGCAATATCTTAATTTGTATAATGTGAAACTTAATATTTTGCATTCGCAATGACATGCGATGACGGTCAACGTTGCCCTATGATTTGAAATTCGTATTGGAATGTCTTTCTTTACACATGAATTTTGACATTTTCAAGATGGAAAGACAAATGTCCTTTACATCCGTATCTGCGAGCGTATCCAATTTTTATCCGGACTCGAATCGCAACGTTGAATCGTGACGTTGATGGTTCTCGTTCTTCTGCTAGTTTACATTATAGACAAATCTATAGTAAAAGAGAATATTAATCAGCCTTGGCACTATTCCCTTGTGATAAGTTAAATGCGCAATACTCCGCAAGAGACTCCGCGATACAGCAATTAATTATAGAAATGTTCAACAAATGAATAACAATCTCTCGTGAAAATGTTACATAGCTATATAAACACGTGTCCGTAACACAAGTCGTTAACAAAAATTTTTTTTAACTATCGAAAGGATACGATCAACGAGTCGGTTGATTATAAATTGCAACACATTTTTTACTGAGTTTTGCGACGCATTTCATATCCAACAGGGAAATGGATCTCTCGCGAAAATTACCAAAACATTAATTCTTCTATTGGATACAACGGAATATACGTTGCGAAACTCATCGAAAATAAGCATTGAAAGCTTCGATCAGCTGATTGTACGCAGGTCCATTTTAATCTCGAGAAACAAAGTCGGTTTTTTTCGGCGAGGGAAACACTCTTCGATGATTAATAAGAACGCTAGCGTACTTTCCTTTTCCTCATTCTTCTCGCTTCTTTTTGCAAAAGAAGCGCCGGTTCTCATCGGTGGAACACCGATTTCTGCCTCGGCACATTAGCGCGCTTTGTCGCGGCGGATTGTTCGCGGAGAGAGGAACGTGCGCGCGCGCACGTTTCGTCCGGATGGCAGTTTCGAGAGCGGAGTTTCGAGTTTCGCGGTCGATACGAATTTCCGATCAGCCGCGAGCGTGAGTAAACGCGCATGAATCGCAGTCACGAGCGAGTCTATTTCGGCGCGTCATTGAGCACACTCGCTCACTTAGGCGGTATCCACTTCGTGAAGATTAATGAGCGCGATTTCGGCGCGGCGAACAGGTGCGATCTGTCTACCGTGAGGAGTGTAATACGCAAAATGGCATGTTACCAATCTCGTGGTCGTCGCACGACTCGCGTAACTCGGCGGAGTTTCAACTTCCGACGTTGCGACGCGCGACTTACGTAAACGTACGCCGTTGCGATGCGCATAAATCTGTCGTTACCCCAAATCTCTCCGAAAAATTGGAGACGTGAGTCAAACGGATTCACATCGTTACGTGTGCGCGTCTCGGAACTAAAAAACGCTTCAGACGTTGAGCCATCGATGATTCGACACGATGATGTTACCGTGTGTCTCGTTGGGTTACACATAATAGGATATAATTAATCGGCTGTGCACGAACATTATATAGCGGTAAAATAACAAAAATTACTTTTACTTCTACGAAGACATTTCTAGCAAATTGTGAGCTTCGTCTAGACGCGTTTCACGTATATGAATTTAAAGTCGGGATACAAAGTCGGGATATTCACGTCACGATGTTTCGTAAGATGTCTGTTCGGCCTTTCTCTGAATTAGACGCGATGGAGCAAAGTACGAACGAAGGATCTCGGTGTATCTCTAAAGGGATCTGCTTTCGAGATCCAATTGAAAAAAGAAAGCAAACGTAGAAGATCGCGAATAAATCCGATGGGAAGAGATCTCGACAACGAGATCACTCGGCGACGTTAGAAAGAGAAAGAGACAGATTCCTCCATTGGAGAGATACTTACAGCGATAGAAACTAGGCGGTCGATTCGCAAATAAACACGTCGTTCCGCATGAGAAGAAGAGAAACGCGTCATGCTCGAAGCGAAGCCGCGCGATTCGCGTCTCGGGGTGAGATAGGGGTGATCTCTTATCTCGCGAAAGGATTTTTTTTTTCGCGACCTCGTATCCCGCCAACGTCCGTTAACTTTACGTACGCGCTATTCAGACTTTCCGGATTTTTATTTGTTTACTTGCTGTTTATTTTGTATTTTGCGGAACCGGATCGAAAGCTCCATCAATCCCGAGTGTCTTCTCAAGCGATTCCGACGTAGTCGGCTATGCATAAATTTGCATTACAATCTTTCGACCTGAACGCCCGGTATCGGCTAGGTATTTTGCGCATTTGTCAGATTGAACCGTGTATTATTTTCAGCTATTTGCCACGCGAGCTTTGCTAACGTCAATCCGGAATAATTATCCTCCCCGTTAAATTTTGTTCGAATTGCAAAACGAGGTATAATTCGCCGTGGAATATCACCATTGTTGCGATTAATTTTGCTCCCATGACATCATAAATCTCTCATTACCGTTGTGGCGAGTTCAATCGCGAGAAGAGCATGAATCATCGCGCGAAGAAACTGCGCTAGTGTGTCGGACCTTTCCCGATTAATAATACGTTTAATAATTACGCGGAAGCGAAACCGAGACAGAATCCGAGCGTGCGCGCGCGCGCGCATGCTGCGAAGTTATTCGCGTTTTTCCCGCCGCGTCCGAATCGAAAAGGCATTACGCGTTGATTACCGCCGAGAACACCGCCGTCGTCGTTGCCGTTGCTGGTGCACAGTGAGAGGCGATCAAGTGCAGACAGTTGCAGCAGCATTGGAATGTCAGTGCATACGAGAAACGAAGGCTGCAACGTGCGGCCAGGCGCACCTAGTCGAATCGTTCTCGGATTGCACGTCGATTCGAGCGCGACGGGAGATCGAACGATTCGTTACAACAATATTCGTGACGTTTACGAGCCGATAATCCCCCCACGTTCCGTGTGGATCAGTAATAAAAGTTTGATCGGTCGAATTGCGCACATTCACGATCAGCTTTCGGCATCGATGTCGAAATCAACAAAGATCTTGTGTTCGAAAACCGTGTGCTGCCGGTATCGTTCGACGATATTGCAAGCAGAACGCCAAAATTTTACTTCACAATCAGTCTCACGTGGACTCTGTTTTAACGGGGATTTCCCTTCCCAGAGACGCAATTTCCATGACTGAATATTTCATACGAAACGAGAAAGTCCACGAGAGGCTCGCGCGATCGCTGTAAACTGATTTTATTTATCTGTCCTCTCTTGAATATAATGATGCTATAACGTAATCGCGTTAATCATTGACTTGATTGGTCGGTGAATTGACCGACCTGAGTTAACGCACTCTACATGCGCAACATGCGATTGAGTTTTTACGTCGAGATTAATCACGTGTCCAGCCTTCGATCGAGCTTAACGATTGATCGGTTCTAAGAGCGTCCACCGCCTCTCGAGCGAAGCGTGTTATTTCAGCCTTAGACGCCTCTCTGCTTATCTTGTATACTTAACCAAATATTTCGCTCATAAAGCACGGCTTCCTCTAACGCTAATCGAAAGAAAACAGTCGACTCGTCGGAGGATTTTCCGCTTCTCTGACATATTCGATCGTCTCGCCGATTCGGTCGATCTCGTTTCTCATTAGCGTTATCGATATCCTCGACTTTGTTTCGATACGCATAGATACGCGTAGAGAGCTCTCTCGCTCTCGCAGGCCGGAGAGAAACGAGACTTTTATCTAACGCAGCCGGGAGTAATATCCACGCTACGCGGAAGACGAAATAATTTTCTCCAGCATCACATAAGCCTCCGGACTACTTTGATAAAATTTCGCGCAAAAATCCCCGCTTCGCGGAAATATTAATCTATCAAGACTTTCTAATCGTGCCATTGGCGTAGGCGGCGGATTTAATTCCTATAACAGGCCTTGGCGGGATTTCACGCGGCGACGCATTGCGCGGATGTGTAGAGATACTTCCCGCGACCTCGTTATGACATACGTACCTCGGGGTGCATTGCAGTATTGCACGGAAAATAATCTAATAGCAAAATCCCGTACCGTAAGCTCGTCAGCGCGATACGCTTCCCGGTAAAGTAAGGGAAATAAATCCGAATAAAATAGAAAGTCCATTTCATAAATGCCAGAGAATAAACGAGACAATAGAATTTCAGAATCCAAGCCGTCGATCAATATCTCGCGCAAAACAATGCGATCTTGTATTATTCTAATCTAATCCTTTTGCTTCGTTCGTGCATGGGAAATCATCGCGAGGCATTCTTTGGGGGGGGGGGGGGGTTCCAAAACGGAGTATGTACCTCAGCCTCAGTGAAAAAATGGTGAGAATGTTAGGAAAATCGCTTAATGTGTATACCGTACGCGTTTAGTTGTGTACGGCATGGCATCAAAAATATAACGCCGAGAGAGGCGCGATGACGAGCTCTCTACTATAACTTGCGGTCCGACGGAGCCCTTCCGTTACCTGGCCGAACCTTCGACCCTTCCAATGAGATCAAACGAACGCTTTCCGGCCTGCGGGCCCGGCCCTGCCGTCGCCGGCTGGTAAGCGTAACCACACGCATACTCACACATCGGTATGTACACGCACACACGTGCATGGTACACACCCACACACGCGCGCACGAGCGAGTGTGCGGAGAAAAACGGGAGGCCGAGGAAAGGAGAGAAGAGAGA